GTACAATATTTTTATAAGCATCGTTGTAATCAATGTCATTATCTAAAATTAATGTAATTATTTTTATTATCATCATTACTGTTATCACTGCTACTACTACTACTACTACTACCATCTTTACCTTTTTTATCATGATTGTCATTATCATTATTATTATTATTATTGTTATTATTGTTAATATTATTATTATTATTATTATTATTATTATTATTATTATTATTATTATTATTATTATTATTATTATTATTATTATTATTATTATTATTATTATTATTATATTACTATTATCATTATTATCATTATCATCATCATCATTATTACTATTATTATTATTACTATTATCATTATTATTATCATTATTATTATTATTATTATCATTATTATTATTATTATCATTATTGTTATCATCATTATTATTATTATTATTATTATTATTATTATTATTATTATCATCATCATCATCATCATCATCATCATCATCATCATCATCATCATCATCATCATCATCATCATCATCATCATCATCATCATCATCATCATCATCATTACTATTATTGTTATTATTTATTATTATTATTATTATTATTATTATTATTATTATTATATTATTATTATTATTATTATTATTATTATTATTATTATTATTATTATTATTATTATCATCATCATCATCATCATCATTATCATTATTGTTATCATTATCATTATCGTTATCTATATCATTACTGTTTTTGTTATTATCACTTTTATCAATATCATCTTATTTCATTCTACTGACCTCCCTTTCCAAAAATCTTAGATCCGGTCCTGAACAATAATAATGATAATGATAATAGTAATAACAATGACAATGCTAATAATGATAGTGTTAACGATGATGATAATGATAATAGTAATAGCAGTAACGATAATAATGATAATGATAACGATGATGATATTGACATTGATGATAAAAATAATCAAAATCATAATGATGATAATGATAAAGATATTAATAATGATAGTGAGTGTATCAAAAATGAAAATTAAAAATCCTTATATTATTGTAAGTATCGTTAGCATCAACTTTATCATTATTACTTATATTATTGTTATTGTTATTATTATCAATATCATTATTATTGTTATCATCATCAGTGTTATCATTATTAGTCTTTTATTATTATCATCATTATCATTATTATCTCCTCCGCCAAGGACGTTATGTTTTTGATAGCGTTGGTTAGTTAGTTTGTTTGCTTGTTGGTTAGTTATTAGGATAACTCCAAAAGTTATGAACAGATTTTCATGATTTTTTACCAAAGAGGCCATTGAGTTTTGGTGGTGATCCGGATCAAAGATTTTAAAAATATATTTGCATTAGTTACCCCTATAACCTTGGCACTTGGGCAATAGCGGTAACTATTATTATTATCATTATCTTTATTATCTCCGCCAAGGTGATGTTGATGGACGCAATCTGTGTACTTAAGAAAAGGGTTATTTTGATGTAATTCTTCAAGTGTGAATATTTTTATTGCATTTGTGACCCTATTGCCTTGCGGATGTCTGTGCTCTCTGAGTGTTTCTAGTCATTATTATTATTGTTATAATCATCATTATCATTTCGTTATTAATATTATTATTACTATTATTGTTGCTGATGTTGTTATTAACATAGGGATCATCATCATTATTACTATTATTGATATTATTATTATCATTATTATCATCATTACCATCACTACTATGATTATTGTCATTATTATTGCCTTATTATGATTTCTTATCATTGCCACTATCATTATAATTGTAATTATCATTATAATAATTGTCAGTATTATTATCATAGTATCATTATTATCCTTAGTATTATTAATCTTATGATGATCATTGCTATTATTAGGTGCATTAGCATCATCATTATCATTATTAGAATCATACTCGCTGTCTTCACTAATGTAATCATTATCACTATTACTAGAATTATCATTATTATCATTATCGACATCATCACTAATACCACCATCGCCATAGTCATCATTATTACTTATCATCCAAATTGATATGATTATCATTATTATTGGATATTATCATATCTACTGCTATCTGCATTTCCATCATTATCAAACACAGGCTCTATGTATGTGCACACTCACACTCACACTCACACTCACACTTAAACACAGACACACACACACACACACACACACACACACACACACACACACACACCACACACACCACACACACACACACACACACACACACACACATCACAACAAAGAGGAGACGCACACATACGCTCACACACGCACACAGTCCATCGCATTGGAAGACCTTTCATGTCACCGCCATCGGGAAAACCCCAAACCTCATTCACCGAACTTCGACACATCGCCATCACTCCATTGCTCAGCCTGCTGTGTGAGCTTCGTCGCCGACTGGGCCCACCAGAACCTCGCGCCCAGCGGTGACACTCGGTAGTTCGGCAACATGCGCTCCTCCTCTACCAAACACTTCCTCGTTAGCTTCCTCGACGTCCTCCTTGCCTATCTCGACAAGCGTGAATCCTCCGTCACCAGCATCTTCATAGATTTCAGCTCTCGACCTTGTGGACCACACCAAGGTCATCTCAAAAGCAGCTGCTTCCACGGGCATCCTGCCACATACGTGCAGGATCCCAAATGGGACACGTAATAGACCCCCTGCGCTTCCTCGTCATGATTAACGACGCGCTTCTGGAAACTGAGCATCGTTAGAAATGCGCGGATGACTCGACCATCACCGCTGCCATTGACAGTTCTTGCACTGACCACTTCCCCCTCCAACGCATCCAATGTTACCGCCAACTGCCAGAAGTAGGTCGTGATGCTGTTCGACTTTTCCACCAACCTCGACCCCTCGCCCGTCCCGGCTCTGGACAACCACCCTCACGACGTAGTCCACTCCACCAAGCTGCTCGTCACCATCGACGGATTGCCCTCATGGACAGCGTGAGGTCTGCCTCGTGCAGGCTTCACATGTCGCGTTGCCTTAACTCCCTTCCTGTCCAAATTAACTCACGCCTCCCCCGCCTGCCTCCCCCCCTCTCACCGCCACCCAGCAGCTACAACTCGAAAGGGTGCAAAAAAGGGCAGCTAAGATCATTCTCGGGCCAGTCAGTAACGGCTACGGCAGCGCCCTAATTACCTGAGGCCTCACCTCTCTCACCAGTCACCGCGACGGTTTGATCTGAAGCTGCTGTACCATCCACGTCACTACGACCTACTGCCGCCTCACCGGCGCCCCGCCGCACACGCACACACACAATTGCTAAACTATCACACTTTCTCCATTTCTTCCTTGTAAATTCACACCTCTGTTCATAAATGTTGTTATTAGTTTTATATTACATGTAATATGTTATCATTGCTATTTTAATAATTTCTATGATGGCTACTATCATCTTCATCATCATTATTTTGACCATACCACCGTTATCATCATCAATATCGTTATTATCAGCACAAAGATATCTTTGAGCTTTGAACTGAATTCCCCAACAAATAAAATCCGTAACATATAATTTCCAAAATATTTAATCATGAGCCTTAATTACCTTACCATTGGTCCTATTAATCTAAAAATCATGAATCTTATATAAAACAAAAATATTGCATAGGATGGTTAGTTCCCATCAGTTTTCACAAGATAATCATATATGTAGATCCTAACTGGCTGTCATCTGAATATTCCTAAGTTTTAGCTATTACTCTACATAATCAATGTTTCTTTTTTGTTCAGTTTTATGATTATATGAATATTGTTACATTTTACTTCCTGTAGATGGTCTGATCGTAAATGACTCAGAGGCATGAAAAACATGATGTGTGTTTTACTTCTCTTTTCTCAAAGAAGCTTTATAGTAAATCTCTAACTTCTACTACGAGATTTCCCCCCCAAAGACAGCACTGTCTACATGCTCTCTGGACAAAGACTGGATCATGTTGCAAATTGCAGTCATTAAGGTAACACTCATATGGAGTCACCATTCTAAGGTACAAACAAATCCATGAATTATATAATTTAGATTCAGAAAAAATACTTATAGATAACATTTTAATGTTTTGCTCTCAAAATCCTTTGATAAATTGCCCATTAATACTGCAATACCAAAGATGTTCCTTTCCTCTTTTGATTCTTCTATATATAGTATTCTATATATGTGTATTATGTACACTTTTTATTCAAGTGTAATATTATATACTCTTCATTTTTCAGTACTTTTAATTTCACCAATTTTCTTCTCATAACACGTTGCCACCAGTTCAGTGATTTTATTTTAAATATTAACTGCTAAAAGAAGGCCATTTTATGTTTGTTTGTACTCTGACCAAGTATTGTGGAGGCCACACTACCTTAACTTGGCTGTAAATCAGATAACAGATGAATTATTTTCTTTTCTTTTTTGTATTCAAGGTCAGTGATTTCTCTCTTTTCCTTGCTTTTTGTTAATTTTTCATAGAGTTTATTTTCTCTAAGTTCATTTTATATTTGATAATAATAATATCTTGAGGATATTTTCACATTCTTCGTAGTGCAGAGTTAATCAGAAAACTGCATGTAAAATTTTCCAAAAGAGAAAAGGACCTTTACATAAAGAAGGGATGCTCACTTTCATTTCCATTTGGCAACAGTGTGAAGAGTCCTAGAACTTATCAATAATTGAGTCACTATGTAGGAAATAGAAATACATTGTCTCTTCTAATGTATCATGTAGCTGGAAATAACTTAGCAAATTACAAGGTATTAATGTGAATGAGAATGCTTCATGTAGCGTCCAACCCAATGGGAGTCCTGTATTATCATGGTTTTAATAAGGATAATGGAGATGTGATGATTTGAAGCACATTTCTGTCTAACTCAACATGCTTTTAAAAGTATGTGCACATTGTACTTTCCATTGTTCCCATCATATTTTAAATTTCATTTTATCAAGATACAATGTATTAGGTATTATTCAGAACATATTTCTTTAGAAATTTTATTCTGATAAAAATAAAGCTTAATTCACCTAAAAATATTTCATCACAATATGAAAAATAACAAAATATTGCTTCTGAACATTCTAGTTGTGCCCTGTATCATAAAAATATGAGAAAAAAGTTTACATAATAGACAAGAGAGCTGAAAAAAATCACATTTCAACAGTATTTTGTTTTAAAAATATAAATATTGAAAGTTTTGGACACTTCAGATTTTGGTACAATTTTTCAATAAAAATAAAGGAAAGCTATGAGATATCAGCTAAAGAAAATAACAACTAATATTTAGATCTCTCAGACAGTATAAAAATGATACACATTAAATGACTGACATACTGAACTTAAAAAGAGTAAGAAAAAAATAAGTTAAATAACAATCACAAAAACCTGACTGGGAAACAATCAAAACTAGTCTTTCAATGAACACCAAAGAAAACAACAGGTTTGAGTAACATTAAAATAATACTTAGACGATAACATGTTTTGAGACATTTAATCTGGAAGAAAATATCTTAAGACTAAAAACATTTATCACAATTAATTTGTACTTGTTTCATCACAGACCATCAGCTTCTTGCTGATTAACAAATTCTTGCAGAGTTGCAGGATCTAAAGGAATCAGAAGGTTTTCCACACCATCTAAACCTTTCTTAGACTTAATGAGTTTGTGGTCTCTGAATTCTGTTAGCTGAGCACGGAGGGTGAGATCAGAGTTAACCAAGAAAGCTTCCCTACATCGCTG